TTAAAGATCATCCAGTTCCAATCCCCCTGCCATGGGCAGGGACACCTTCCACTAGACCAGGTTGCTCCAAGCCTCATCCAGCCTGGCCTTGAAGACATCCAGGGATAGGGCATCCTGAGCTTCTCTGGGCAACCTGTCCCAGTGCCTCCCCACCCTCTCCAGGAAGAATTTCTTCCTGATATCCAATCTAAACCTCCCCACTTTCAATTTAAACCCATTACCGCTTGTCCTGTCACTACAGGCCCTTGTACAAAGTCCCCCCCAGCTTCCTTGTAGCCCCTTCAGGTACCGGAAGGTGCTATAAGGTCTCCCCGGAGCCTTCTCTTCTCCAGGCTGAACATCCCCAACTCTCCCAGCCTGTCCCCATGGCAGAGGGGCTCCAGCCCTCGGAGCATCTCTGTGGCCTCCTCCGGACTCGCTCCAAGTGGTCAATATCCTTCTGATACTGGGGGTCACACAGCTAGACGCAGCACTCCAGGTGGGGTCTCACCAGAGCAGAGTACAGGGGCAGGTTAACGTGCACAGGTTAATCTGATGGGTTTGGAAAGCCACTCAAGCTGCAACAGTTGTTAGAGAAGCACGTCTTTATTACAGACAGTGGGCAGGAACCTGTGACGATCAAGTATGAACAGCCTCTTCATCCTTCTCTTAGGAACTAGATATTAATCAGAAGATTTCCCTGACTTCCACTGCCCAAGTTTCATCTTCATAACACGATTTTAAGGTTGAAGTAAGTAACAGCAACAACTCTGTATTGCAGCTGAGCAAAACAATACCGTACGGGATTCCTGTTCAGATTAAAAGACCTTTTTTACTATTTTAAAGTTATATGGAAATAAAATGATACTATGTGGGAACATTCCAAGTCCTACTGCTTCGCATATTCACTTAGGACAACAAAGCAGTATGTCTGGGAAGCCACCTGACACCAGCAGCTGAACCAATGACGCCTGGACTCTTGGAGAGCCAAAATCCTCATCCTTGCTTTAAGGTGAATGAACTGATACCTATCTGCTACTGAATCCTGGTCTACGTGTCTTTGGAGTTCAACTCCCCACCCCACCTTGTCGATGTTTTTCCACTCTCAGCTACAGCTGGGCCAGCATCAGAGCTGCCATTTACTGCTCAGTTCTCAACCTGTGAGCTGAACAACTGAACTAGCTCCCAACAGAAGATGGACACAGGGATGTGTATCCATCGGTACGATGATCCTTGGATGGAGAAGCACGGTTACGTTAACGGTCTTCAAAAGAGACAGGTTTGAAAAATAATAATTAAAAAAAACTCTCACTGTGCATCTCACATTGCTCATACTTACACGGAGGTCACCAAAGGGGAAAGGAAGAGTCCCTAGCAGGGCAGCTCAGGCACGCCAGACATCGAAATTGCCTGTGAAGGATCGGCTGGTGATTAAGGCATCCTCCGGAAGAAGCAGTCTTTGATCCTAAGGATGGACCAAAATCCCAGGAAGGGAAGATGCAGGCTTCCTGCTTGAGTAGCAGACACTGTCATTTTTCCCTTCCAGGAGTCCAGGGCACAGCTATAATCTCAGTTAATAAAAATCTACACATTCATTTAGGGCTCATTATTTTCTTCCCGTCAAGTGATTTTTCTTCCAACGTACAACTTCGACTCTGCTGAGAGGTGGGAGTCATCTTTGTCCTAAGCACGAGTTACTGCTGCCCCAAAGCTTCTGTACTGTGAAGGGGTGAAGCAGTGCCCGCTTTTCAAGGAGGACTTACCACAAATGCTACTCTCCATCAGGCAAAACCCAACCATCGTACCTATCATGACCTAGCACAGCCAGTGAAAATTAACCAGACCAGAAGCAGATCATAGAATCATAGAATGGTTTGGGGTGGAAGGGACCTTAAAGTATCATCTAGTTCCAACCCCCTGCCATGGGCAGGGACACCTTGCACTAGACCAGGTTGCTCACAGCCTCATCCAGCCTGGCCTTGAAGACATCCAGGGATGGGACATCCACAACATCTCTGGGCAACCTGTTCCAGTGCCTCCCCACCCTCTCTGTGAAGAATTTCTTCCTGACATCTAATCTAAACCTCCCTGATTTCAATTTATACCCATTACCCCTTGTCCTATCACTACAGGCTCTTGTAAAAAGTCCTTCCCCAGCACCCTTGTAGGCCCCCTTCATGTCATGTGGTCACTTACCCTGAGACCACAGAACATTTTTGGAAGTTACAGCCAAGTAGCAGCTGTTAAAGTAAAAGTTGTTTACAAATGCTTTTACTCCATCAGCCTGTTTCTTACACTTTGCCTCCGTCTCAGAGTAGCTGGTCACCGCACAGGATGCCGGGAGTGCTTGACGGGGATGCTCAAAGCTTCTCCCAGCCTAGCGCTACACAGGTAACCACAGCCGAGCTCTGCTCCTGATTTACACCAAGCAAATGCCACTCCAGACTGGTTCTCACACCAGGCAGTGGCCTCAAGCACTGAAGGCTGGGAAGTGTACTTCCCACCCGACCACCGCCACCATCACCCTACGTTTCACAATCGCACGCGACACTCTGGGGCTGTGGTCCAAGGAAATCCACAGGCCTCTGACACGCAGAGCTTGGAGCCTTAGAAAATACCAACACGGTCCAGGCAATTCTGCCACGTGAGTCACTTGACACAGCCTGGTACATCCGGAGGTTGTTAATTAACACATTTGTGGAATACCATAATTTTACACAACACTTTGATGTGACCCATGTCAAAACAATCTCGTATGTGACCCTATGACCACATAATGGAGACAGCTGGCTAATTATGCTCATCAGTATTTTCCTTTTAGCCTTTAAAGGCTGATTAAATGCAAAACAAAAGCTTAAATTAAACATGAAGCCCAGGTTCTTTCCATTTTGTCTGTGATTAGGCTCCAGTGTTACCGAACTCGACGCTCCCTACTTCTCTCCTGCTAGATCAAAATGAGCTGCATGGAGCAGCTTCAGCAGTTCACAGCGGCACAGTTAAATCAAGTACAGAGACACTGAAGTTTCTCCAGAATAAGGAACTTCACCCTGAGAACAGCGGGATGTACGTGTATATAAACCCCCTGAAAGGTCCCGTTCCAGTTTTCGTCTTTGCACGTGCATTCATTTATACAGAATACAGATGTGAAGCAGTTTTCCATTTAAAACCACGTTCCCTCAAGTAAAAGAGAATTAACAAAAAAAATCACGCACTAAATTAAAACGACACATTTGCAGGCTGGAATACGCCCTGCTACAGGCAGCCTAGATTCACCTCGTGCGTACAGACAGCAGAAGGTAACATCTGCCAGCTGAGAAGACACCCACGCCGCGGAGCGGTCACCGCACCGGCTGCTAACTACTTTATAGAGACCAGCAGTGAAGTTCTGGGGTTTGGGCTTCCAAAATTACCCTAAAACACCTGCTTTAAGTGATCTACAGGAGATTTCTTTTAGAATACTTCAGTTACAAGTGTGCAAGACTTGTTCTTTGAAACCTGGTACCAAAAAACTTTCATGTGGGGTCATGCTTACGCGTTCTGCTCAACTCAATGCCTCGATCTTAAAAAACAGCTACACGAAGAGGACTGAATTTACAGCCTCCGAAGTATCCTGTGCGTGTACTTCACAAGTGCCACAGTCACTGTAAACCAAGCTATTATTCTTAAACCCAGCAAGAATTCGACTTCTTTCAAACGCAACGTCTGTTGGATGGGAGCGGCTGGCATTTCGTTCCCATCAGCTGCGATGACACCGATCACTCTGTACCAATATAACGTACGACTGCGCTGTAAATCAACCCCCCGAATGCCTGCTTGGACGCGTACGTAAAGATCACCACTTCCTCACATGCAATCACCGCTCACAGACACTGCCAAAGCTCCACCTACGATCACCCAGAACACGGACTCAGTCACGCCGCTCTTCGCTCAGGATGGTGCCTCGGGCTGGCGTTTTGTACTCAACGCTGCTTTTTTCAGAGAGGTGAAAATGAAACCTTCTCTAAAGGTGCTCTTATAAGCGTGTTTGAGAAAGATGTAAAGCCCTGCAACCTCTGCAACTTATCTGACAGCATCTTCAGCTACGCAAGGCGATCTTTTGTGGAAGACAATTTCTTGAGAGCTCCATTTTATAAGCGCTTCAGTATTCAATGACACAAACGCTGTATTTCAGGGGGAAAAAACCGGCTTACAAATATTTAGTTAGTTAGAACCAAGCTTTGCCATAACCCTCCAAAAGAGAAATTCATACTTTTCACGCTGCTGTAACGTTTCAGCTCCTCTGGCAAAACGCATACGTAACACTTTGAAGCTCTTTGCAAATGCAATCACCCAACCAACCTGCATTTCACTGCCCACTAGCAAGTGCCACTGCTATGGCCAAGCCAAAACTATTCAGTCAAACCATCGTACAGTAGGTGCTGACTTACAGCTGGACAACTTCAGCTTGTTTCTAGCACTACGAAAACGAAAGGCAACAGATCACAACATGCAGTAAAAGAGCAGAAAAGCATCGATTGGAACTTGACTCAAAACATACCTCGTGGGAAGGGTCCAAAGTTCCGCACACTTCCACTTCTCGTGAGGGAAATCCGAGTGCAAGCAGATTTTAATCACACACTGTGACTGGTAAATGGTTAGCTCAGCTGCTGTGACCGGTGTCACCGCGCACCACCCAGTACAGTCATTCACAAGGAAGCAAGGACCAGTGTTACAAGCAGAGATGAAGTGCACATGCAGGGCCGGGTAAGGAGGCATGCAGTAAGTATGCGTGAACCCTGCCTAGGCGCTGGCAGCGCTACCTTTCATCAGCGGCCTCTTTTTATTTTCAGAGGTTATTTAAATGTAGTTTAGCTTTTAGAGAAAACACAGAACTGGTTTCTGGCAAGCCCGGCACCAGCTCCTGCTCTCAGCAGATGGCTCAGCACGAGGACAGCACGCTGATCGTTGGGCCCTACGCCGGTGAGCCGATGGGAGTGACAGCAGGGACTGCGGGAAGCTATGGAGAGCACCAGAGAACATACCTTCTTAGGAACAACGGAGGAAGTGGAATTAATTGTGCTCTCGTCACTATGCATCATGACCAGTTCAGGGCTGCTCTCATCCAGGACCTCCTGCATGCTGCTCACACTGCTGCTCTGACTGCCTGTGCTCACAGACATACTTGGGATGGAATGGTTGCTGCCCAGACTGTCCATCTTCCTACTCAGGTTTGATCCATGCTCACTGTCCTATAAAACAAGGGGCGCATCAGTTACAAATACTGCAGGAGATGACCTGCTCAGCACGTGCCTGCAGCGCCCAGAGCTTGTGTTAAAGGCGGCTCTGCAGAGTTAACGGCTCTTTGCTCATTATTTTGGCAACTACGTTTCTCAAGGCTGCCCGGGTTATGAAATACTGCGCGCGGGGCAGCTAGCTCTTGCCTCTTCCCTGCGATCTTACTACATCGGGCTTCAAGCCAAGCTTTTTTGGTTTTTTTTCCCCACGGATCAGTAAGTCTGGGCATGGCTCTTGGCTTGAATAAGAGACATCCAGGAATCCTGGATGGCTGGTGGAAGCAGTCTCATAATTAAAAGGCACAATCTGTATTAAACCAGTGTTCCAAGTCAGGGTACGCTACCACGCATTTTGTGAATCAGGAAACTTGTAAGGTAACGAACCCGTTTGTTTATGATTTGATAACTATCACACGGTGCTTAACAGGTGTAGGGGTTTTAACCTCCACGTCCCAAGCAGGCAGCGATTCCATTTTGTCAAGCTAAAAACCACTTTAGCCTTGTGTTTTCAGCCAAGAGAAATTCTTCATTCACCTTTAAGCGGCTGACTCAGAGGAACCTGCATTATTAGCAATTAAAACTTGTAATCTACTTAGACATATGCAAATACCTCGTACAGGACATATTTTTGATTCTACAGACAAATATCAGAAGTTCGCATCCTTCTTTCTTGTTGCATACTCCTACCAGCACAGTAATCCCAGAGTATGCATTTAATCTGGACTGACAGAGCGTTTATGGAGTCCTTTGTAATTAACTAATGGAGCTGAAGATGCTCGCAAGGAGTTCACAGTGAGGGCCGAGAACTTGAAAATCCTTCAGCTCCTGCTCCAAAATAGCCTTGATTCATCAAAACGAACAGCTTGGTACTGCACTCAGTTTGTCCTGGCCTCCAAAGCGATCTTGGGGAGAATTACATTACAAATCAATTAACAGGGTACTCATTTTGCTGGAAACCGGCAGAAAGATAAAATTGACAGACTTGACAGATTTGTATTTGATTGAGTGATTATTTTTAAGCCATCAGCAGATCGTTCAGAGCCTGTGTGAGAGCACTTAAAAAATCAAACCACCAAAAGAATACTATTTTACAGAGAACATATGCACACGGGAAGGAAAGTATTTCCAGGATGCTTATATAAAGTTGCAGAAGTAACATAACGAAGCATCTGAGATGAGGCTCTGGCTACGTAATTAACGAATGCATATGCACAAAGGACAGGGATGAGATTGCATATGCAACCTTAACGTTGATTTCCTGACTCTAAATACTTTTCAAATGACCTTAACTCCCTCGCAAGAGCTTTGAGGAATGCATTAGTGATATTCTGAGTGTGAAGGATTTGTAATGTTCCTTTCCTGCACTCTCTTGTGGCATTTACAGCCGAGCAGCTCTTGTTAGCCAGTGAAGTAGTAACTGAAGCACGTGCTGTATTTTCCTTTCACTGTCAAGTTAGTGACACACACGAGCAGCACAACCTCCTCTCGTCAGACACGAGCTCAGGGGTAAAACACAGTGCGGAACATGCTGGGCACATGCAGAGTGTGAGCTTCATACGTGTTAATCCTAGATATGCAACCTCTTTATTCCCCCTTTTCTGAGAGGTGGGGACAGGAGGAACAGAAGATACACCTCGGAGTCGACTCCTGCCACCTGTATCCTACTTAGCGATTGAGCCTGGATCTGCTGAACGGTGAGGTGGGAAGCCCATTCCCTTGTGCTTTCCTACCCTGTCTCTCTCCTAACCACTCTTCCCACACAGGTAGACAAAGGCTGAAGGTTTCAGTGCAGAAGTCTGACAACCCCCCGCCCCCAGCTAAGTTCGAGGTTTACAAGTTGGCTAGCTGGAGGGTTAGAACAGAACCGTGTAGCTTTGATCACAGTGGTGGCTGTTCCAGCTACTTTTGTGCTTCTCCTTCAGCGTGAGGGACAGCGCTAAGTGCCAGCCCCTCCTTCCGTACGCTCTCCTACTTAACACCCAGGCTTACCCTTTTCTTAGACCAGAGCTCTAGTTCAGCTGCAGAAGAACATTTGACATACACAAACCTCAAAACCAAAGTCCCTGAACATATGCTGAGCTTGGGCATCTCACTGCATACGATCTGGCTGTACTGCAGCAATAAGGGATACAAACATCACTTGCCTGTCCATTTCTTTTTTTTTTTTTTTTCACTGAGAACCAGTCAGACTTATTTACCCAATGCGCCTGTGCCAAACGACATTAATTACCATCTAATCTCATCAACTGAAAAATGACTGGTTTCCTTCTTAAAGTCACAGTTAGTGTCAATTATCATACACTGATTAAGTGGATTGTTTATTACAAGATTTAAGCTCAAGCTGAATTTTATGTCTTTAATATTAAAGAATTAAAAAAAAATAAGTCTTACTAATTTGGCAATTTGTTTTTCAGCTCATGACAGGCCAATTACTTTACAGTAAGGTTATGGTAATTGAAAAAATATTAACATTAATCAAGTGGTCTAGACTGCGCTTCCAAGACTGAAAAGCCTGGACTGTCCACAGACCCTCCCTCACACAGGCTGTGAGCCACTTCCTCCTCACAGAGGATGTCCCTCCAAACGAGGCTCTTCCCTCAGGTTTTCAGAACGGTCATCATCTTTGAAAAAACTCGTTTTAAAGCTGACAATAAATGCACATCTAACGCCGAGTAAGGGTGGCTGTCGGTTGTTATCCCATCCTGCCTCTCTCCTGATCCAGATGATATTCCAACACCAGAGACTGTATCCACACCTGCCCCCTTACGGGTAGGAACACCTCACTTTCCCTAAAATTATTTGTAACAGTGTAAATGGGGTGACAAAATAAAAGTACCTCCTCCTCCTCCTGAGACTCGGTCAGCGGGCCATTCCGTGTCTCCTGGAAAAGGATTTTCTTCATTTTCCGGTACTGAAGGTTATCCAGTTCACGTACTGCATCTTTCGTCCTTTGTATGAGGTCTATGAGTACCCGGGGTGGTCGTTCTCGGCGAACAAAATCGTGCTACATTGAAGGAAGCAAAACACATGGTTTCAGACATGACACTAGCGTGTTTGACGTAAAACCAGGGACACAGTGACCCGTTAGCAGACACCCCAAATGACAATTCATATTCAGTAATTGGTCTGTTCATATTCAGTCATTAGCGATACCCACCACGAGACGCCGCACGCTCAGCACTGATTACACCGGCTGTGCTCATCACGGTGTCAAATAACCAAACTGATCATGCTGCACCCCATGCGTTTTGAAGCGTAGGCTGCAAAACGTGTTGTTCAGAAGCCAAAAGATCCGCTAAAGCACAAAACCCAGTGAAACAGAGTCAAGAGAAGTGGGGCAGAAATCACTTCGCTACCAGAAACTGATGGGAGGGGGTGTAGCCTGCACGCAGGCACAGCAGGAGGAGCTGGATGGGGAGACGCAAGACCTGGCCGACCCTTCCCAAGCTCTCGTTACCCCCGACTCACTTTTCTGTCTGAAGTGAAAGAGTTTGGACTGGGCTCAGGTTTTCTGAGCCCTCCAGGCAACACAGCTCATTTGGCCATCCTGAGCCCGTTGACTTGAGGCACACCAGGTACAAGACAGGGTCACTTCCCCTACAGAGGCACAGGACTTCCGAATGAACGAACGGCGGGCAGGACAAAGAAGAAGCAATCCTGACTATGTAAGACAACCTGCTGAAGCTACATGGAAAGGTTTATCCTGCACCTATCCGTACCGATTCAGACATGTACTGTAAGACTTATTTATACTTAAAGCATTTGTAGCCAGAGTTAGAGTAAAATCAGTTTCTAACTCACTCCTGCTAAGGATATACTAGAAGTACAGGTTTTAGGTGCAGACTTAACAATTAATTCTTCAACAGTATTTAAGTACCTGACTAAAGGCTCTTGTCTGATGTATCACCTATGTTCTCCTGAACTGTACAGCTGCAGCGCGTTGTGAAAGCCTTACAGCTTTCCCATTCAACCACTGACTAAAGTAGACAGTCGGTGTATTCACCTGCCAAAATTCCACGCGGAATCACTGTCGTTGGGCCTGTGGCTTAGGGTGTATGACGGGAGTTGGCCTGAAGGCACAAACATCTTCTGTGCGTTTCTAGAAACGTTAACAATCAGGTGGAATGGGAAAAAAGTTGTTCCCTGCCCCTCACTGCAAATGCCATGATGGCCTTCTGATTGGAGCCTCAGCAGCTGGACCCCACCTGCAAACAAATCCTCAGGAGGGTGATATCCTGTGAGCTCAGCGTCCCACAGCACAGGGAAAACCATCTCTGCCCTGGATCCCTGGCTGTCTTCAAGGCCAGGCTGGATGAGGCTTGGAGCAACCTGGTCTAGTGGAAGGTGTCCCTGCCCATGGCAGCGGGGTGGGACTGGATGGGCTTTAAGGTCCCTCCAAACCCAAACCATTCTGTGATTCTGTCTGCTGCCATCCCTCAAGTTCAAGAGCTAATACATCCAACTGGAGCTGGAGTAACCAGTATGTGAAACCCAGTTCTCCTTAAAACAGGAGAACAGGGTTTTTTCAACAAAAAAGTTGAAAGGGTGAGCTGTTGACTTCTTAATGATTTGTAAATAAACAGGGAAGTATCACGCCACAGGCTTATTTCTTGGTTTTAATTGAATTCAAACTGTTGTGCATTTGAGTTTTGCTAATGGGGACAGCTAGTCATTTCGCCATCAATTTTTTTGCTAGTAGTGATGATGGTGCTTATTTCTGAATTATAGCTGGGAACTCTAAACATCATTTCACACAGAAGCAAAATGAATAATTTCTGCTCCTCAATGCACATAACCACCATTTATTTCTCTGTCAACAGAATCAATCTGCAGCTTATCTATGATTAGAAAAAGGGTAACTATGTTTTATCTCATTGTAGATAATGCATTAGTGCTTTTTAAAAATTTGGAACAACGACCGTGAACTTAAATCCATCCTGTATGTCCAGTGTTTACTGGTTTATGTATATTCTTTAACACTGCAAACACTAATTCACTGGAAAGTCTATGTGCTTCCTATTCAAGCACTGCTCAACTATGAGAATGCAACCACACGGATGTTTTATCTCATTGTAGATAATGCATTAGTGCTTTTTAAAAATTTGGAACAACGACCGTGAACTTAAATCCATCCTGTATGTCCAGTGTTTAGTGGTTTATGCATATTCTTTAACACTGCAAACACTCATTTCACAGGAAAGACTACGTGCTTCCTATTCAAGCACTATTCAACTATGAGAATGCAACCACACGGCCACTGTAGGGCAGATGCACAAAGATGCACAGAACTGAAAGTCCAAGGGTTCTTGCATAATGAGAATACAATTCTGACTGCTCATTTCTATTATTTTTTTTTAATTACATACAAAAGATGTAGTCACCCCTTTGCTAGGTACTGTGCAACTCTGAGAAATGAGTCTGAAAGGACTTAATCTGTACACTTTCTCCAAACTGCAAAGAGGAAAAAAAATCCAACCAGACTCAAAGGGAGAAAGAAGTTGGTCTAAAAGCGGGCAGCACACTGGCTGGAAGAGTGACTCAGAAAAGTCTCGGGGGAATGTCATGCAAGCTGAGGAGAACAGGGAGAAAGTTTTAAAACACGTTTTATAACTGCTTTTTATTTTAAAAGGGAAAAATATTAGTGAGAGTTCTGTAGGTTTTCTATTTTATTTTCAACTGCATTTTACTATCACAGTCATTTGACTATTTTCAGCTGGGCTAGTGAATGGGAACAGAATTCATGCTCAAACAACTGATTTAAAATTCTGTTCCCTTTAAGAAAATGTGGCCACAACAAATTTGCTCTCTCCTTGTTTACTGCACTCAAGTGAAAAGCCTTCAGAAGACAAAGAGCTCTTCAATCTTATAATCTAACAAGTTTTAGGGAGAGCTACAGCAGGAAAGAACATCCAGGGTACCACTCTGAAAATCTAAAACCAAATGAAAAGACTGAATATACACATTTTAAGAATAAGATCTCAGTTCCAGCTGTCTGCACTGACTCCAATCTAAGGCACTCGTGAAGTTGTATCCTTCAATGAACTCACACTATTCCTAGAGAGCAGAAAGACTGCCAATCCACACCAATGAATCACTCTGAAACCCACAACGTAAACCTATTAGCTGGTCGAAAGGATTGTCAGGGTGCTGCACGCAGAACCAGAGAACAAAACGCTGGTTATGTGCCACAGCACGAACCTATCACATGAAAAACACACCAGGCGCCTGAGAGAGTACAAACAAGCTCGTTCAGCCTTTACCTGGAGAGCGAAGGCACGAGTTAAATATTCTGCAGGGTCCAGGCTAAAAGCCAGGACGGAAGCGAGCGCAAAGCTAGCTGTTCGGTAAAGAGCGCAGGGTTTCAATTTCTCTCGTCAAGAACCAAGAGGCTCGGAAACATCCATGAAAATGCATTTTACTGAGCCAGAAGAGCAACAAGAGAAGCCATAAAACAAAGGCTGAATGGTAGCCTTAGAAGAAAAATCAGCATGAAAAGGCTGTCAGGTAGACACAGAGCAGCAATCTAACCTACTGTGGAAATTAAGCAAAGCACTCAATGGAGCTAGCAATCCCTCTGCTCAAATATTTAAGGAAAAACTCAGTCCTGTTTACCTGGCGGGGAAGAGCAGCATGCCATGCAATTCTCACCAGCAGCTATGTTCGGCAACCAGAGGAAGAGCAGGGCCACTAATCAATTTTAAAGAAAGGAAATACTTAAAAAACCAAGCCTGATGGAAAAGGGGCTGGACAGGATTTCACACATCCCTACCTTCTAACGCAAGGCTGCTCCTGAATTTCCCAAACACAAAGCCCTTGGAATTATAAGCAATTCCAACACTTCTCAGGTAAGCTGAAACTGGAACTGACTTACAATTCATTCACTGACAAAACTTTGGCAAACTCTGGACGCATCATTCCCAGCACAGGTCCTGCTCCTATGTGTTCCTGGGAATCAGGAACCTGTAACAGGCACTTTCCAAAACGATACGCTTATTCCCAAAACATGTTCTATTTAGCTGAGTTCAGTACAGAAACTATTACAGGGATATAAACCACAACTTGGTTTTGGTGGTTTGATAGGAAGAGGTCTATCTAGGTCTAGGCCTATCCTGTTAGTGCTACTTTTAACAACCAAGTATGATGCATGAATATGGAGAAGCAGCAAACACATTACAAGATGTTAAGGAATCAAGAGGAATTGCTCAAAACCCATCTAGGACAAAGAAAAGATTGGAAAATGGAGATCAGAAACACAGACAGAAATACAAACAACGCATGACTAGAGAGAGAAGTTGAAAAAATAGGGATGTCTGGAAATACACGATTAAAAAACCAGATGCAAAGTATGTTTGGCAAATAACAACACGAGGAGGGATCTACAGTTGGCACTCATCAGTACACTTGTCAGGGCTTCTGCCCCAGACAGCAGCCAAAAGAACAGAGGATCAAACCCCCCACAGTGTAACACCACAGAGCACAGCCGAGCCAGCCTTTCCCAGCTCCCAGGCATCAAGCAGAAAGTTCACAAAAAAATACATATTCAAAAGGTATTATGAACAGATAAAGAATTAATCACGCTCACATTAGCATTACTAGAGAAAAAAGGTCAAGATAACCTTCCTGAACTTCAGCTGCATCCGTCAAATAATAAAAAAAATAGAGACAGGATGCTTCAGAGCACTCTGCACAGAACAATCTTGCTCTGGCCAGGAGAGAAGCGTAGGTCATCCAGTCTCTTTCCATCCCTAATACCCTTGTTCCTTTAAATAATCAGCCACTATCTGTAAATCTTTATTAAGAGCTCAACCCTCTGATCATGTGGAGTATAATTCTCCAAGTATTCCCAGCTCTGCAAAAGACTTGCTATTGCCTATGCATCTTACGAAGACTGGTTAAGTCTATGTTTTGAGTAGCAATTAAAATGGCTTTTTAGATTTTTCTAGCACTTCCATAGAGAAAGCCTGTAGCAAATTACAAGCCTTAAATCTTACTAAAATTGCAAAAAATCTTAGTAGCAAGTGTTGCCTGCCACACAACAAAACCCTCCTTGCTGAAGAAGGCAAGCAGGAAAAGAAGAAAGGAGGAGCACCAGCAAATTAACAGTTACGGTACCACCTTACACAAAACTGCCTAACTGCTCCAAAAGGTCTTTGCTTTCACACGAGCTGCACCAAGTTACAGTTTCCCCACTCCCTCTGCCCCATTTAGAGGGGAAACAGGTTTGCCTCCAGTTCCCTCCCTCCTTTCTGCCTGCTCCTTCAGACACCCCGTCGTACAGCCTGGTCACAACTCAGGGCATCCTACTGACAGCACAGGGTGGCAGAGAGGCTGGTGAAAATCCCTCCAGGAGGAAGCACCCTCCTAAGTCGTGCCTATGCAGGAAACTGTAGGTTGGAACACGCTTCTGCAGCACTGATTTAGCCAACCCATCTCTGGACCTGTTTGCCCTTGATAATACTTTTTGTTGAGGTCTGTACAGTATTGTCTTGGAAAAAAAGTCATTAAAAAATAAACATTAAGCTTAAAATTCTTCTATCCCCCTCCTGCCGAGAGCTAAACCCCAGTACTCACGCTACTATCCCACGAGACTTGCAAGTCCTCCACCTCAAATCTAACCTCCACTGAGCTGTGGGGTGCAAGAGGAGCAGGATGCTGGGCTGCTCCCCAAATAACTCCTCACTCAACAGCAGATCTGTCTTACCACACAGCCTACCTCTCCTTTACTCCAGTTAGTTCGACTCTTGAGCATCATGTTATAAAGAGAATTGTGACTGTCATAACGGGCAAAGTAAGGAAACAAAGTTAAGCAGCCTAAAATACTCTTCAGAAGACCCCAAAACTCTACTGATCGAGACAAGACCAATTCTTTTTTGAAAGCACAAATAGTTGTTCACCACCTTTAGCATTATTTTGGTATCAAGCAGATTTTTCTAAAGTTTCTGGAAAAGATTTGAAAAATTACCCGTAACAGATCGGTTGATGATGGCCTTTCCTGAGGTATTTTCTGTAAGCAGTAATCAACAAATCCCCTAAAGGAGTCTGACCTGCAAATCAAAAAAAAAAGAAGTTCTAAATGAAAAAGCAGCTTAGGATCTGGAATACGCACAGACATACTAGCACAGAGCAAAAGGAAAGAACAAATCAGTCAAGGTTTAAGTTCTAGGGCAGAGAAATTCACTGGGCTTTTCCAAAGTCTGAGTGAGTTGATCCCACCAGTTCTTTCAATAGTTGAAGAGTGTTGAAGCAAACGTTATTCCTAACCATAAACTAGAACCAACCAAGAACTCGGTGTACCAGTCACTATTTTCAATTTACTTCAACTACTTCAAAACAGATGACAAGGAGATTATTGGTAGGCCCAGAAACAGTTAGCTGACAAACGGCACTCTCTTCTCTAGAGCCTTCCCACTATTTCTGACACTGACGCAGTAAAGGGTCTTGATACAACGCACAGTCCAACAAAACTTTAGACTATATATGAGGTTGTGTCACAACTGGGAAGAAAACTGATCTTCTAGGTGCCACTGAACTCAGAAGCAGCATAAAAGGCACCTTGCTTACTCCCTGTGTTCTCCAAGCCAGGAAGAGCAAACAGGTGACTGTAAACAGACTGCCTGCAGTCACAAATCCTGTCTCGTAGACCGCAGTCGTTAGTTGTCTCAACGCTGCACTGCACATTCTGCACAGAAGGACATGGGTATCACTGTGCAGACACGAGACCAAGCACTTTGACTCTTGAAAAGTGGACAAAATAGAGGTGAGGAAATAAGGAAACTGGAGTGGTTTTGATAAAATGATTAGCAAAGACATAATTATGCTGCCTCCATGTCTAGCAGGGTTACTGGGGGAACTTCACACCTCTCCAGGGGCCATTGTTGCAAGCCACTGGCAGAGTCTGCCAAGCAGCACTGGACAGCTACATCCCACTCATGGGTACAGACACCAGGAAACGGGGCAAGCCCTTTGCTGCCACAGAATAACAAAGCACCAAAGCTCAGACTCTGGAACAAGCCTCTGCATGGAGAGTGTTTACTGGCCACAGAGCTCTGATGGCTTTTCAAGTCACTCACTGAAAATAAATCTAATTACCTCTATATTCTGTGTACCTCTCCCTGCCCTTTCTCCACATTTCAGCAGCACTACAATGCTACCAACTCTCCTGTCAGGGGTCTTTTGCAGCTGGAAGCTTTGCTGATGCTGAGCTACGCCTGGCTTAATGCAGCCAAGGATATTTTAATTCCTACAGCATCTACAGCCTCATAATTAACACCTCCACACACTGAGATTATAGCACAGCCAAAGCAACAGCAGGTCAAAATCAAGCCTGCCTACACAGGAGCAGTATTTGAGAACGCAGTCAAACCGCTACCCTGCGACAAAGACTTCTTGTCAGCCTTTAACCCTGCAGAGAGTGTTGCAGAGCATTTTCAGGGAAACAAACAAGAAAATAATCCGGTAACGGTTCTCTTACCATTCATCTGACTGTAACATAGGGGAATCGTTCTGGGCTATGTGATATAAGGCACTCATTGCATTCATGTTGAAAAGCGGGGGCTTCCTTTCAGCTGGAAAGAGAAGAGAAAGGTGTGATAAGGCAGTCTGGAAAGAAAAGGAGAGAGATATGGAAGTATGAGCAGGGTATCAGTGCTGAATCAGTAGCTCATTACTGTCATCATAACATTTTAAGCTAATGATTTTAATATTCTAGGTTAGACCAGGACAACCACTCAAGAAAAGCTGTTCCTCACTTGAAGAGGGGGATGACGAAAACCAAAGAGAACAGGATGCAAATTGTACAGAAACATTTCCAGTAGATTTTATCTTAACTGCAACGTTTCACACCTGATCTGCTAAGCTAAAAATCAGCAGAAGCTGACTAAGACAGAGCTTAGGCATACAGCGTGGCAGGGCTAGGACATTTACGTATCAATCCCTACAGGTCTTCGACACACTGACAAAGCATCTGTAGGAAGGAAAAATAGTAGCTGCCCGTTTCATTTGTCACTGGCAGTCACCTGCAAGTGGGACAGTTTGCCAAATCCCCTTGCCAGGTGTGTCATCAACTCCCCTTAACTAGTCCTTGCACGGAGAGGACACACACCCACCAGCCCCCGACTTTTGGGAGTGCAGCAGATCTCTGACAGACACTGAGGAAGGCTAGTTTTCACCACCCCCTAAGGTCAGTCATGCCAACCAGCCAACAATGCCAGGATTTTTACGCTCGGGTCAGAGCAGTTACTTATCCCTGACATGCAGCATGCATGCAAACCACCACATTTTCTTTCCTTTAAACACTACTTACTTGGGCTACACAAAGAATCAAGACATCAGCATTCAAAGAAAGCCAGGTGGTGTTCAGCAAGAGATTTCCTCCCACTGCTACCTGACCCCGTGGTCAGTAACAGAATCATGCAAAGGCAAAGCTCTAAGTTTTTTTAAAAAGTTTAATGATTCTCAAAAGGGTTAAAAAAAAGCAAAAAGCAAATCCATCAACTCTGTAAAATGGCTTTGAGGTTCTTGATTGAAAAGTTCAATAGAAATTCTAGTATTGGGCTTTCTCCCCATTCTGTACATCCCCTTCTTTGTTATCCCATATATATTCCTAAAAAAAAATATTTTCAGTGAACTTGCCCTCACAATAAGTTCTTGATGTACTGCTGTCGAGGTAAGTGTAATCCATCCCAGGAGTATCTTTGAAAATGATGCACTCAGCACATGCAGTGTCAGTGTTCAAACGTGAAGCGCACACACCTGCCCTGTGTACCTGCTATCACATCTACATCTGCGTCAGGTTGCATGGATGCCTATCTGCCCTTTGCAGAGCAAACCCTTTTCTTCTCATGAACAGAACCTGTCCACATTGATTCGTGTCACAAACTTTCAGCTGAGATTGAAGATTTGTTTGTTTCAGAGAGTGGGGAAGTTAAATGCAGGTCCCTTCTGACACACAATTCTTAGAACATCAGTTCCCTTGAGATAACAGCCAGAACAACTGTCTCAAAACCCAGCTTGCGAAACACAGACCAGAAACCCTAGTTTCTTCCCAGACAAGGCTAGAGTCCTCTAGTTAAGGGAGTAACTGAGCACACCAGGTTAACATTAAAGCACAACTGCATTGGTGACTTGCTCTTGATTTGCCAGAGAGCAAAAGATTTAACTCAGCTGTCAGTGGTTTCCAAGTCAGGCTTTATAAAAAGAAAAAAAAACCCCAAACACCCAACTTAGGAGGAGTAAAAATCTTCCTTTTTTTCAGGACTTCCTAACAAACACTGCGGACAGTTAATTATTCACCTCAGCTGTCAAGTATTTACTCACCTAACTCAATACACGTGATCCCAAGAGACCAGACATCCACCTTCCCATCATACTGCCCCTCGTCCATAGCGAGGATCACCTCTGGTGCCATCCTGCCAACCACAATGCAAAACATGGGGGTTAGGGGATACAAACAGTGATTCCCAGCACTTCGCTTAAAATGAGACGGCTTCCTTATCTTCAGCAGCAGACCAGAACTTGGAGAGCCAGCACGGAGCCGAGTAGAGCCATGCGGAAATGAAACCACACTTGCCTGCGCTAGCAACTCTTCCAAGAGGCAGTTTAAGAAAGGAAAGTAAACAAGAGGCCAACCTGATCATCTTGCTGTTAGTGCAAGATGCTGGCACATGGGAGACCCCCACACATCTCAAAGGCATTGTCCCTGCAGGCAGACACCAAGGGCTCTGAGTCCTAAAAGCATCACTTTCACTCTCACCAGAGATGGTGGGTTTTCCATTTTCACACCAGGAGAACTTTCCAGCAGATATATGCAGCCTGTGAGTGTAGCTAAGAAAGGAACAGGGAAATCCGGAACAGTGGGGAAATACAGCGGGCCAGCATAAAGGGATGAGTGAGTGGGGGGGGAAAAAAGAAGCAGCGGGCCCAGTCTGCAAAAATTCAGCCTCTTCTGCTCTTCAAAGACGAAGCAGGCTTCCTGCCACACGGACTTGTTCAGAGATTGGGCAGTAGGTGACTCCCCCTGATGCCTGGGGCGTCTGCCACGGAGTAAGTGGAGCATAAAGCTATGCTGGCCCACGATGTCAGGAATAACTTAAGCAAGTCTCTTCAAAACAGAATGTGAGCAGCTGTGTGACTTCCAGTCTGCATGGCCAGATTAACAGGATTCCCTTTCTCCATGCCTTAGTTCCATCACCCATGGCAAGTCTTAGTAATTTTTAAGCCAGTGGCATTACCACAGTCGAAACATTAACTGGTGTCATTTCAGAGCACTGCACAGCCTACTTAGGGGCACTGAGAAAGAGCACATTTCCTGAAGAGCTGGACACAGGGATACTGGGAAAACTGCTTGGTTAATTAAGGTTTTATACCAGGTATTATTTTCAGGTTGTGAAACGCTAGAAATGGAAGACAGCAGTCTTAAAGGACTGAAGTGTTGCAAGCTTTACTCACCAGTAAGGCGTTCCCACGAAAGAGTTGGCAGGGGACACTATGGATGCAGACCCGAAGTCAGCTAGTTTCACTTGACCTGGTTCTGTTAGAAGAATATTTCCAGCTTTAATATCCCTTTAAAAGAACAAAAGAGAAGTATACTTCTGGTTACAGCAGAGTAACTTGCAAAACTTTACAAACACACAGAAGTCCACTAACTTTTTCTCAAGTATTCAGGGAAACCTGAGAATATTTAGAAATCTACTATTATGGAGAGCTAGAGAAATCAGATACAGGGTGTTTTTGGGAACAGAAGCCTGTCTGCATCCAAAAAAGGCAGAGGGTAAGGAAAGAGAAGAGGAGACGAGCCATGGTTGCAAGGTTGAGGACCCAAACTGAGATCCAAGGAAGATATATCCTAATACCCAGCTGTGACATCTTACAACGATACCAGACATGTTATTTTTAACTTTCAAGTGCCCTAGGCTGCCTTATCTTATCCTTCCTACAACTCTCAGATCATTCATATGTTAAGGAGATTAACAATAACAAAGCTACGGCAACACAAAAGGCACAAGATGCATTCAACACCTTTGGCCCCATAAATTTCTAAATTCCAGCAGTAAGTAGGTTAATTTCCAATTAACTGCCCATGAAACGCTGAGAAAGAAGATATGCAAATTGACTTAACCTAAGACACTTAGCAATGACCCTACTGAAAGTTAGGGATGAACTCATCTAAGCACCATTTATTTTCTAGGACTTGTGCAGACTTGTCTGTTAACACCTGAAATAATTTTTTCTTGCACCCATGTGATATCAAAGAATGAGGACTGCTTTCAGAAATTCAGGTTACTTACACACTGCCAGCTGAAAATCACAACAGAGTGAAAGTTTCTTAAAACCCTGATACAGCACTTCACTAACAAAGGGAAAAATTGCACACTAGGTATGCCCGAGATGCCTTTACACAGGCAAAGCTATTTGCTTTTGCAAAAGCAGAACCTCAACATAAGTGGAATATGTGTAAGGGATCCCTGACAGCCAGGCTGTATACACCATACGGTCTGGAATGTCTCTTTGCCATCTCTTCACAAAATACCGTGTATTTTATACAAAAAAATACATCAAGAAGAGTATCAACTTTCCTTATCTGGTGTTCAACTACAAGTCCTTAAACACCCAAGTCACGTATCAGTAGCTGTAGACCTCCAACAAAACCAAGTTACCGTGTACTGCCAAACTCACTCATGTCTGACTCTGAAAACTGAGGTAATTAGCTCTGTTTCCCTTCCCATGTACCTGTCTTGTATTTCCTGCAGAGGAAGAGCATGCACTGAATTATCACACAACAGCTGCAGCATGATTTGTGCATCAAGTACAAATCCAGTACCACTGTGGACCTAGAGAACAGGTAAGCTGAAAGATAAGGCTGAGAGAGTTGGGGTGTTCAGCCTGGAGAAGGGAAGGCTCCGGGGAGACCTTATAGCACCTTCCAGTACCTGAAGGGGCTACAAGGAAGCTGGGGGGGACTTTTTACAAGGGTCTGTAGTGACAGGACAAGGGGGAACGGGTACAAATTGAAAGTGGGGAGGTTTAGATTAGATATCAGGAAGAAATTCTTCCCGGAGAGGGTGGGGAGGCACTTGGACAGGTTGCCCAGAGAAGCTGTGGATGCCCCACCCCTGGAAGTGTCCAAGGCCAGGCTGGATGAGGCTTGGAGCAACCTGGCCTAGTGCAAGGTGTCCCTGCCCATGGCAGGGGGGTTGGAACTGGATGATCTTTAAGGTCCCTTCCACCCCAAACCATTCTGTGATTCTTTAAATTCAGCATGATACAAACACCGGGAAAATGCCCTTGTCTCCGCAGGGCAGCACACAGGACAGGCAAAGCTGGGATAGAAAGCCACAGAGACAGGAATTTACTTACAGTATCTCACCAGCAGAGCTGGAATCAGAACCTCTATTCCCCCGTTCCCAGGACAGCATTGCTTCAAAACTAAGTACTATGGATTTTTTTTTTTTTGGACACACGTCCTGATATGCCTTCACCTTTTGGGTCCATGCATCCGTCACTTCTGCTGGCGACAAGCACTGAAGACATCTTGTATGTGCAGGAACACAGACCCCAAAGTACAAGAGAGACAGCACAGGCTGTCCCCTCTGCCACCACCTCCACTGCCACCCTCACTGCTGAAGGCCTCAGTGGCCGCATCAGCAAACACATGGGCTAACTTTGGTTTGCCTCGTGCCTGCGGTTAGTGAGAAGATCACCTCACCCTTGGCCATCCCATGGCGTGAGGTCATCCGGCTGCAGAGGTGCCCGGGAGCTGCGGAGGGAGATGCTTTGTTCTGCGTCTCCACGAGGTGTCCCCCCTGCCCGGCATGTGCTCGCCGGCCCAGCGGAGGGTGGGGGGGCACCCAACAAGAACTAATTCTCATTAGTGTCTATACAGGGGGTTATTTACTATAAATAAGAACTAAATGCACTTCGAAAGCATGGTGTTTTTATGCTTAAGTAAGGGCAAAAACACAAAGGGCTATCAAAAATCATCTTATTCTAATTTCATAAACAGGCGTTCATGTTTAAACTAACTTTTCACCTAAACGTGATTTAACAGCCACGCACAGCTATGCCCCAAATAGTTACTCTGACAAGTGATGGGTACTTCCTGCCTCCGCAAGAGTCCCTCACCGTCTTGGCATCAGATACACCAGTTTTCTGTCTCAAGCTTGCTGGTAGGCTACAAAGGGGCTTTTAGCCTTATAAATTAGACACAAGTTGCCTCATTCTGACGATTTCCCCCCTATTCATTACACTAATTTAGTTCTTAAGTCCCTGACATACCATTATTACTCAAAATCAGACCAAAAATCCACCGCCCATAGAACTGGGACATGCAACATTTATTTATTTATTTCTGCATCTACCGTGCCATTAGGGGAAGTGACAAGCCCATCAGAGAAAGGTTTGGAAGAATAACCTTTACCAGAATTGCTTAAACATAGCAAAGCACTTTTCAGACTCCAGAGAGTGGAAGCTGGATGGACACCTAGGCAGCACGGAGCTCCAGCCTTACCTATGGATCTTACAGTGAGAGTGCAGGTAGGCCAGCCCCTGCAAGGCACCGTGGGTGATGGCAGCAATCTCCACTTCCTGAAGTGGTTTCTTGTGAACTACAGGGGGAAAAAAGAAAAAAAATATCTAGAAAAACCGTAAGTAGTTAAGTGTGATCTTTTCCTGAAAGTGTTTTTAAAGATAAGGAACCCCACCAACTATTTCATAGAACCATAAAATGGTTTGGGTTGGAAGGGACCTTAAAGACCATCCAGTTC